CTCTCTAAGTCATTCTTCACCAAGCCATGGATCTGTTCGAAAGCTAATTTCTCCTCATTACCCGCCCTCTATCTAATAATGGATATAATTTAATCCTGAAGAATCTGGGAAAAAATAAGAGGAGAATTCAGTAAATAGAATATTGGGATTTGCTATTAGAACTTTCATTGAGGATAGAGTTTGCCAATCAGAGATAAAACTCGACATAGCAGGTTTAAGCTGTTTTCTCCCTAAAATTCAACATGCATATCTTAAAACACTTACACTAGCTTGCTGAGGAGATGCTGAGAATACAAGGAATGACTAACGATTTTCAGAAATTGTAATGTTGTTAAGATTATACAAAATACATAACTTTTGGCATCGTCTAGGGAGAATAAGGAAGCTAGGGTGCTCTTTTTCTTGGCTATGCATCTTCTAGTTAGAGTGGAATGCTGGAATTTTCGAAGCTGGCTATTCCCTCCTTCTGTTCTCTGGGAAAGAGTTACTTTTTTGGCTTCTTTGTGGGCCAAGGCTCATGGACACTTGAGCGATATCTCTTTAACTTTGTTACAAAGGGATTCAGTGCAGTTTTATGTTATCTTTTTACTATGGCTATTTTTTCTCTTCTTGACTTTTTTTGGAGATGGACTACGTCTGATCCTCTACATTTGTACCTTTTTCTTGTCCCTCTCTATTAATGTTGCTATTTTTTCATTTAAAAATTGTTGGAAAATTATTAAAATTCATTATGTTATAAAAACTAACAATTACTTTGGCATGATTATGGGAAGGCGTCGGTACTAATTTGTGTAGAAAAATGTCTTTCGACAAATTTTTCTTATGTTTATCTTAATTTGTATATATAGCACTTTTCAAGATGGATTTGAGTTGCCATCTCGACTTTCGGTGTCTGCCGCTGATTGTTTTCTAGCGATCACTGGAGCATTGACAAGAAAAGCTGAGATTCCAGTCAATAGGTCAAAATCAATAAATTCAAGTAGATCAGATCCGGCTGTTGCTTTAGTGCCTACTAATATAAGTAAGAAGAAAGTGAGTCAAGCTCATGAACCTTCATGCATAAATGGAAAAATGGAACTTTTGCTCTGGAATCATCTGGAGGAACTCATTGTTCTAGTGCAGAGTCTCCTTGCGGTATGTTATGGATTTCTTTTACTTATATATATGATCCATCATTTTCAGAATTATTGGTATTTTATAACTATTTCTAAAATTATTGGCACTGAAGTATTAGCATACCTAATGGCTTTTTTTTTAGAGGAAAATAAGAACTATCATTACAAGGCACCGAAACGGGATTCTATCCATATGCAGAGAAGTTTACACCAGAAAAGACAAAATACCTAAAAAGGTCCTTAAATCTTTGTGATGGAGAGAATGACCTTTGAACAAAATAGACATGATCTAAAATGAGTGAATATTTTTTGAGAGAAAAGTAGAAAGATGTATCAAAGTGTAGGCACCAAGGGGGTGTCGCCCATGTACAATTAAAATGAGTGAATATTATCTGTAGATATCAAAGGGTTAATTACTCTAGAAGCCTTAGCATTTTAGGCACTATGCCAATCTGGATTATGGATTTTTAATGAGACAATATTTCAACTAAAGATCTAATAGGACCTTTTTCTAAGGTTCCGTGTATTTAACTGTTAGATTCACATGTATGGGGTGTTTGATACATGAGTGGGTAAAAGATCATTTTTACCTTTGAATAAGAATCTTAAAATGCAGAGGTAGAGTTGCTGACAATTATAAGTCTTCATTTCAATAGAATTTCTGATGTGGAGGAAAGGTTATGGGCAGAGACTTTCCTTTTAAGCATATTTGGAAGGTTAATACATAGCTCAGATTTGCTTCTTTTCTATACATTTTAACCATGCACAAGGTGATTAGAGGAGGCAGGATATGACTGTTATATGTGTAGAAGGGATGCAGAGTCGTGCAACCTTATCCTATTATGGGGCTCCCTTTGCCATTAGATATGGAACCCTTGTTTATAGCCTACTAGGTATTTATTGGGTGATGGCTGGCTCGATGAGGGAGGAAATATGGGCGTGGAAAGGAATCTGTTGTGTGAAGAAACATATTAGCCTCATTCACGTTGCTACTTTTTGGGTGGTATAGAAGGAAAGGAGCAGGTGGGCCTTTGAGGCGTGGAAGTGAGTTTTGATAAGGTTAAGGATAGCTGGTTCCAGACCCTAGGTTTTTTTATTAAGGATAGTCTTCTCTACCCTTTTGAGGATCTTGGGGACCTTATTAGCTTTCTAATTGATATGTAAATATTTTTGCATACGGGTTTGCATCCACTTGGTGTGTGCTAATGAGTATTACCATATTTTTTATTCAAAAGAAAAAACAATTTCTGATGTGAGATATATCTTTTTCCAAAGAGTTAAGAGTAAAGTGCTAGAGAGAGTTAAGGGTATTTATTGAATAATAGGTGTTAAAAATTTCGACCATGATTTTTATCATAGTCAGATATAAGTTGCTTGCTTCACCAGGTTTATCACTTTGACTGAAACTTGCCATAATAACGTAATGTTTTGATACATTTACTTTGATCTGCAGTGGAGCAGAAAAAGTCGTCCTTTGCATGCTAAAGGATTAAGGCAAGTGCTTAAGTGGTTACATGAAATAAACAAACATTACGGTGGCTCTCACGACGAGGCAGGTCCTATAACTAATGCATGCTTCAAAACATAAGACTATTTGTTACCATGTCATGATTTTCATGTGTTGTGAATTGTCTGCCACATGGAAGACAGGTTCAAAGATTCTCAAAACTGGAGCAATGTTACTTTCTTCTTGTTGGAAGCATTACAGTGTGCTATTGCACTTGGATGATCACAAGTTCTCTCGGCAGAGCAAAGAATTGTTAGACCAATATTTATCAGGCATCCAGGTATGGTCAATCCATTCATTTTCAAGAATTCAACAGTATTCATAATTTTAGCTAATTATTTTTCTACACTGGAATGTGAAAAGTCTTTTTATTAGAGAAAAGTTCTATTATCTTTTTTCCTATTTCAATAGTGGCGATGAGGATCAATACCACTAGTGTTCCACCTTTATCTTTCTTCATGCTGCTTTCCTTCAATGAAGTTGACTGACAATTTGAACAAAATACAGTTTTATACGGAAAACCATGCTGAGGAAAATCTCGAGAATAAGACCAATGGAATAGAGACAAGGAAATTTTTTCTTAATTGTTTATGCCTTCTGTTGGGGCGTCTGGATGGCAAGAGATTTGAAAGTACAACATCAGAGTATGGAATGCAGTTAGTACGGGTTCTTTTGTCACAGGTAATTTTGCACGAAAGTATGAAGAATTATGTTTTTTCCCCAAAAGTGTAGCATACAGCTGGATCTATATGGTTCAGTTGGAAATTTATATGTTCTGTTTGAAAGTTTATATGTTTATACTGTGTTTTTAGTCCCAAAAAACTCTGGGAAGTGTATCGGAATTCAAAATCCAATGTTCAATTTGGATTGAGTTTTTGATGGAGTCTTTTTCTGTGTCATTTATAACTTCGTAAGCACACCAAAAGGAAGAAAAGAGAAAATAGGTTGCATTTTTTTTAAAATAAAAAGTATGCAATATTATATTAACAGGGAACCAAATCAGAAAATAGGTTGCTTTTATTTTAGCTTTTCATCCATGAGTGGTCTAACGTAGACAGCTACGTGGCTTGGTGGTTGTTTTGACCTTAATTATGGATCTAGCCCTTGAATTATATGTTTTAAGCACCAGCCTCTGTGTAAGATATTTAAAAATAGCTTTTGTTATTTGGATTCTGGCATGATATCAAAATATAGGATCTTGGTTTTGAGTCTTTGCTGGAATTTCTTGCTTTATATTAAGTATTTTTAAGAAAGTATTGAGGACTCATTAAGAGAGAATCTTAAATCTTTGGAAACTGGAGTTAAGGACTCATTAAGAGAAATTTCAAAAAAAAAAAAAAGAAGAGAACCCATCAGTTTCTTTGAGTTTAGTAAGAAACTCTATTTTTCCCAAAGACAAATTCTGCCTGAAATGCTTATGAATACGTTTCTTAAAACAAAATCGGATAATTTCTTTTTTGAAATATAAGAGAAATATTGTTATGCGAAACAAAATCAGATAATAAAACTACCAGCCTAAGAAATAGATTGCTGCCAATATTAAACAATCTCCTACATCTAAGGAAAAAAGAAACCGCAGCAAGGAAAATAAACTAATCAGTTTCTTCTACATATGCAGGAAATTGATTAGTGTTTCTTTTCGTGCTTCCATGTGTAAATCTCCTATAATCCAGTCCCAAAGAGGGATGCATAAAATTGCTGATTATCCTCATTGGTTCGACTGTTGTTGGGTCATAACAGATTCTCTATGTAAATGAACAAGTATCTGACATGGAACTTGGAACATAGTTGGTTTGGTAACTCCAAAAATACCCACAACAATGGGTAATTTTATGATAAAATTCATTCCAAACTTTTTTTGCCTATATTGCTAAAGCTTGATGGTGATACTCAGCTACCTGACTGTTGTATTTGTAACCAAGCTTATCTATTTGGTATAAATGATAAAGTGCAGAATTTGATGCATTCAAATGACTGTTATTTTGTTGGTTCTTGAAGCTTCACTCTGATGATGACGACATTGTAGAGGGAGTTGTTTGCATAATGAGGGCAGCCATTTTCCGACCAAATGATTTATCTGGAGGCCATCCAACTAATGCCAGACAAATGGATGTTGTTATGCCCACATTGCTTCACCTTTTAAATGAGCGGGATAGTGCAGCTAGAGCTGTTGTTAGCCTCATAGCAGAATATTGCTCTATGTACTTCTCTACTTTTTCACTCATTGAAAATTGACATCTTCATTATCTTTTTTTGAGGTTCTAATCTGATATGGAAAATATTTACCAGAAATACAGATGGTCACTGGCTAAGAGAGGTTGTGGGAAAACTTGCTTCAGGAAATGCTATGCAGAGGAGGAATGCTGTTGATGTTATCTCAGAGCTCATCCGGATGTCAACAGATTCAGGAAGCGTACTTTCCCAGATTGCATGGTGTACTATGATTTCAGCAGCTGTTCCTTTCATTTTTTTTGTCCGTTCCATGTTGCCCTGCTATAGATCTTATTCCAATAAATATTGCAGGCAAGAAGTAGGAAACCACTTGCTAGAGTGCCTTGGAGATGAAGAAACTGCAATTCGTGTACAGGCATCCAATTTGCTTCCAATGATTGGTTAGTTGTGTAAACCCTTGCCTTTTTGACAGAAGGAATTTGCATATCCTTCCAATCATTGGATATGCAAATTCTTTGAATTCTTTCTGCGAGCGTAATCTGCCAAAGTGGTTTTTGACAACTCATATTCACTTTTCAAAATATCGGAGATCAGTGCCTTAGAATTCTTTGTATCTTGCTTCAAGGGCACTCCTTCTCGATGCTGATGATATTTTGGATATCTTTGATCTCTCTCCTTTAGGTGAATGTAAATTGTGTATGTGATATTGTACTAGGTTGCACCCCCTTTGTGCGTAGAATTTTTTTTTTTTCATCTAAAAACAACCATACCAAGTGGTTTTCTTAGATTTGACAACCTACATGTCTGTCTTGAGGATGTGGATGGTAATATCTCTTAATAGGATCGTGTTCTTTTTCCTTTCTCCTAGTATGATTCATAGTTCAACAAATATAATATCCTTGAAATAAGTGGTTAAAGAATTATTCTGGTGAGAGTTTAAGATAGGATAACTTGAATTCAAAGGGAACTGGGAAATACTTTTCTTCCTCTACTGCTATTAGGGGACTAGTTGGGCTTTCTGCTATTGACTAGAACCTTTTGGGCAGCTATCCTATCTTGTGCTAATGCAGCCTTTAAGCCTCTAAAGGGTTTCTGCTAATCCTGTGATATGCCTTATCTTGATGTCTCCTTGGGCTGGGTGAGGCATCATTTTCCTTCATCCAATAAATATGAATTTACATTATTTATGCTTGTTTTCAGATCTTACTTGTGATGCCCTTATTTTGAGTTCTTTGTTGCTTTGCCTTATGATTTGATTGGTTAATTTGAGTTCTTCGTCGCTTTGCCTTATGATTTGATTGATTAATTTTCTTTCTTATTGCAGATCCATCATTAGTGTTGCCTGCGATAGTTAATCTTGTTTACGCTCCGGATGAAAATGTACAATTATCTGCAAGTAATGCCTTAATTGGGTTGTTGAAGTATCACAATGAGAATGCTGAAGTGATATGTATGCTGCTCGACAGTCTTAGGTATCTTATTTCTCTCCTTTTTCTTTTAACTGATCCAGAAAACCAAATGGAGAACAGTATTTTCTTAATGTCAAAAGAATCATTATTCACAATGCACAATTCACCAAGGTACTTGTCAAAATATTTAATTCTGTGATAGAGATAGAGAAAAATTTTGTTTGTCAAAGACATATATCTCATGGAGGACTTACAAGACAGGTTTACTGGAAAACCTATCCGTGTAGGACCCTTGGCAATGCAGCAGAGGGAGGGATGCTTCCCGCTTGGAATCTGCTATGTGAGGGTCGGTTCTGCAGTTGGTCGTCTAGTAGAGTTCTTTGAGAACTGAATTTAGGAGCTCGATTTAGGATTCCCTAGTAAGCCTTACAATCAGATTTAGTTTAGGAATTGGAATAAAACCAGGTTTATAAAACTTGTTGTAATAGGGGTCTGTAAATAGACCTATTATCATGAATGAAACTACCAATTTACAAATTTCTTTTTTTTTTTATCTCACAGAAAGATCTTCTATATGTTTTCAGTAGAAAGACTACTTCCATCATAGTCACCATGGGTTTCCACCTGCAAACAAAAGCTTCACAACTTCACTTCTTGCATATCATGTTAGATAGCAAAAAACATATGTTTACTCTTTTTTGCCATCTCTCATCCTTGCAGCAGTCTCAGTCATGGCCTAGGTGTTCTGAAAACAACTGGACATTCAGGTAAAGGTGGGTGACATTATCTACGATCCTTTGCTATATAGTTTGGCATATACATTATTTTCTTCCATTTGATTGTTCCATGACTAATACTCATTTGGGCTTTTGTTTAATTGATTCTCCCTGTTTCTAATTTTAGATACCAGGTTTCTGGAACAACATACCTCAATTCTAGTTTAAAGTGTGAAAATATCTACGAAATATAGTTGGTCTAGTTTCTGTAATTGAATCTTCAAGATGCTGTAAATTTTGAGTGATTATAGTGAAACATACACACACTTTTCTTTTTGGCTATTTTTTTGTTAAATAAACATGGATGTTAGTCTTTCTTTTCAGTATGTTAAATCCCTTCTTTCCTTCCTTAGCATAGCATTTATCAGAGCATTAATTATTTATTATTAAAGTGTAATTAGAATGTTTGTTGTCCTCTTTGGATGAGAAGAATATATTTATTATTGAACTGTTGTAATAGGAGCAAAGTTGGACGAAGATCGAGTGCTCAAGCTGATCCCAGAGTGGTCTAAAACTGTAAGAAAATCATGGAATCTTTTGAAATGATATATTGAATTTTTTTGGTATCGAAATATTGGCAGTGATATAAGTGCAAAGTCCAAACTCTGGTAGCTGGTCGAGAAATACTGGTGGAACTGTTTTTAATTTTTAATCTTTTTCTTTTGTGGAAGCTGATGAAATTGATGAAGCTCAAACTGATAGCTGCTGTCTTTGTGATATTGATAAGATGTTTGTTGATTGTACGGAATGTATCAGGTCCAGAACTGGAACTCCTTGATAGAAAGATTGATTGACAAGATGTTTGCAGAGCCTTCAAATGCAATGATTGTCAGGTTTTTGAGCTGCATTAATGAACAATTGGCAGAATCTGGAGATATAGTCCTCTATCGTGTTCTGTGTCATGTGAAAGAACAGAAAGAGTATGCATATTTCTCTTCTCCTGTTCTTGTTTTTCTTTTCTTAATAAAGAAAACTGTGTTTGCTTTTCATTAAGTGCTTCTGTAACATTAATGCTCGTCTGACAATATTTATGCTTGTACCACTGCTTTGAAGCAATGCTTTCAGTCACTTGACATTTTGGCATATTCATAGATCTTCTAGTTTTTCTTCTCCATAATGATATAAGGAAAAATAAAAATAGTGGTTTTTCCCCTCAAAGTGTAATTAATTGGAGGCCATGTTATGTTGGCAACTGTCCTTTTAAATATTTTCAAGCTACTATTAGATTGGTTTCGTTCCTTTTCCATTCAATTCAGAACTAATTTTTGTGTTTAATTGTTATAATAGTCTTGATATTGCATAATTGGAACATAATTTACTGTGCTTGAGTTATCAAAGAATTCAATATGAAGTGTTGACTTTTTAAAAAAATAAAAAAAATATGAAGTGCTGATGACTCCAACACAATAGATAATGTTTTAATTTTGCATACTAAGACTAATGTAAAAAATTACAATTAGGAATTAAGTTGGAAACAGACCATGATGGTCTTTCATCACCATCTTGTTCAATTATTGGTCATTCCTAGAAGTTTATATTTTTTAATAAATGAAGAAATGTTGCTAAAAGAGGAGGAAAAAGCTATTACAATGATATTGAGAGAATAAGATATAGGCAAATGCAGAAAAGATAAGATTTGAAGTGAAGATTTAGAATATATTTCCAATCCCTTTGGAGGTAAGATAAAAACATTCCTGAAAGAAATGGTGCCTGAAGGGAAGCAGAGGAAATCACCTTTCAAAACTGTGGGAAGCAGTTGAAATTGATGCTTAAAAATCCTTGTATTGATCCAGCCAAATTACTCTCAAACTGGCAGATAGACCCCTTTCACAAAAACTGCTAGAAATTAAATATTTTTATGTATTTGACTCCATAACTTTTAGTGCAAACCTCCTAGTTAAATGACAAATATATTTTGTGTATGTAATAGTGATGCAACAAAAAGATTATGAAGGACACTTGATCTTGTTAAACTTAGAGATTAAGATTTTCTAATATCGTCCAAGCTGGACATGTATCTTGCAATTTACTAGGAAATTAATTGAACTACAGCAAGAAATCATGAAATTCTTAAAATTACCAAGGGTGATTTTAAAAATACTTAAGGTATTTTCGTTAAAAGTGTAAGTCCTGGCTATGATAAAATCGTACAAAGCCATATTTATAGGGGAAATTATCCCCTAAATATCCGATATAGGGAAAACTACCCCCTAAATATTAGGGTATCTGAGATCATGTAAACTTCTAAAACTTCCTCCAAAAATTAGGCCAAAAAACAAAACTAACGTAGAGTAGGAAATTAAAATCTTAAATAGAATAAAATGTCCATACACACTTCGATTCCGAAAACTACAATGATTTACTAATAGCCAAATATAGGTAAAAAGTATTAAATTACTTTATCATAACAATATTTTTAACTCTACAATGATACCATTTTTCTTCTCATTTTCTTCTCACTGTGACAGTGTTGACGAAAGCTTCTTATCTAGATGGGATAGTGGTACCTATACAAGTGATGACTCCAAAAGAATGCAGCAAGTTCTGTTTGATCGACTGTGTCCATTACTCATACTACGGCTGCTTCCAATGAGAGTTTTTGATTACCTTGAGTCTTCTATCATGTATGGTCAACTTCTCAGTCGAGGCATTGGGAATGGTATGTTGTTGTACTTGTGTAGCCGTTTGTTCTTTTTTTCTCCCTTCAATATTCAACTTTCCATTTTGTTGACATTTGATTATTTCTTGTGAAATTTGGTTCTATTTGGGAGTTAATTTTGATATTTGCAAGTTAGTTGTGTTATCTATACCTTTCTAAATAAAATATTGTATATGGTAGAACTCCTAATAAATTTTTGCTTTTCTTCTCCAAAAATCATTAATTTTATAGCTGTGTTGCCGAATTTTTTTATCCTGATATGTCCTTGTCATTTTCTCTGAGCTTTTGGGCTATGTAATTGGTGGCAAAGTAGGGGATACAATTCTTTTGGCGCCATGTAACTAGTAGCAAAGTAGGGGATTCAGTTTCAGCAAAGGCATATAAGCTATTCAGCACAAGTGATAACTTCGTTATTTCATGGGTAAAAGCACCATTAACATATAAGTCTTCACAATTTGTAAGAATACTTATCTACATTGGTGAAAAAGAACTTGACAGAGCAATCATTGTGGGCGTAAGCATTGTGATACCATCTTACATTAAGCCAGATATGGTATTTACTTTTGACCGATGCATGGTTCATCTACTAGTGGTTCTACCAGATCTTGGGATATAATGTACCCTTTATCTGTGTTAGCGAAAAAAATATTCTTAGAGGAGGATAGGGTAAAAAGTTGATCAAAAGAGCTGGCAATTTTCCTATTAATTAGAGCATTAGAGAGGAGTGAAGACCCCTATGAAACCTAAGTTTTAGTTTGCGTGAGAACTTTTGGACTTAGATCGTTTCTCTTGTAACTATGCTTAAGGACTATAACTTATCTTTTAATTCTTCTTGAGCCAGCTTCAGAGGATGGAGCTATAAATATTGTTGATCACGAGTGTGTTGCTGCTATCCTTTTAAACAGGTTTGGCTGTTATCATAAACATTTTCAAAGTTTTTCTTACATCAATGGAAATTTAATGTTTTCCCTTTTGGTTTCTGTAGGGCATTTTCTAAGGTTGAATTTGAAGATGTCCGTAAACTTGCTGCTGAGCTTTCTGGGCGCATTCACCCTCAGGTGTATAACATTAACCTCACACACTTGATCCTTCTTGATGCTGAGCTTTTTGCTTTTTTCTCATCCTTGATCCTTCTTTATCTGTGTTAGCCTTTCTTGAAAAAAATTGATGTTAAATCATGGTATTGTTGTATTTGCATAAATGGACAATAAGCTATAGAACATAAGGTTACCCCTTCCTTCCATCATGGTATTGTTTTAGACATGCTATGAGCTTGGGTCTGCTACTCCTGACTTGTGGAAACCATATTGCACTAACTTGACAAAGGCAAATTACACTTTTAGGTTTTGTTTGGAAAAAATGAACTTTATTTATGAAATTCATTTGAGAATTTCACGTTTATTTTTATTGTATGGCGATGCAAATCCCTTTTAAAATGATAAAAATTGACCTTCCTAAGCTTGATTTCGTGCGAAATTGAGATAATACAATTTCAAACCACATATCAAACCTTGTTAGTTACTTTTCATTTAGCATGATAAGAATTTTGGATGCCTGAATATTACTTGTACATGTAGAACAGAAATGAGCCATAAATGGTGTTCTGTTAGATGGATGTTGCATGTGCAACAGAAGTGAGTTTATCATCAGTTAAGATGACTAATGCTGTTGTTTATTATGTTTATCATTATAAATCTGTTTTAATGTTCTGTAGCCTCTGAATCTGCAGGTGCTCTTCCCAGTTGTTTCTTCCTACTTAGAACAATTTGCAGGTTATCAAGATATACTGAAGATTAAAGCCTGCTTGTTTTCTATCTGTACTTCTCTTGTGGTAAGCACCTTTTACTACTGATTGCTATTTTCTTCTATTTTTTGCATTAAGGTGCTTTTTTATTTTCCTTGTCTATGATTTTAAGCAAAATTTATTTAGATTCACCCTGCAACTAACTTGATAATCTCGTTTGGTTTGTAGGTTAGAGGCAAAGATGCCATTTTGCATCCTGCTATGCTTAAAATTAGAGGAACACTGGAAATGATTCTGTTGTGGCCTTCTTTAGATGAAGATGAAGGTTCCCAAACAAATTGATTTTCGTCTAAACCTATTACAATCTTTCAACTTTATGTTTACAAATCTTCTCTTCTTGCAGTCTCTAAAGCACAGCATGGATGCATTGACTGTTTGGCACTGATGATATGTGCTGAACTGCAAGTTCCTGGATTATTAAAAGGATCCACCACTGAGAAGATTAACATTGTCAGGAAGAATGACAACTGTGGTTGGTGTTTTTATTACTTGTATAATTGTACATCTACTTTCAGGAGTGCATCTTACCTATATAGTTAATGTTGCACAGAAGAGCCCGCCTCCAAACACTCTGTTCTCGCATATGTGATCCATCAAATATTACATGATGAGAGTGAACTATTTTCTACATCTAGGACGGGTAGCAAGCACCCAACTGTTAGGATGCCAACTCCTCTCCCTTTTCGTCTATGCATGGCTAATGTTCTCATCAGTGTCTGCCAAAAAATTTTTGACTCCAGCAAGAAACGGTTTGCGAAAAGAACTCTTCCGTGCCTCATTCAATCTGTTGAGGTATTTATCTTGGTTATCTTTTGAGTTATGTGGTCAGTAGCATCAGTTTAAAAGATTTTTTTATCTTTTGGGTGTTTTGCTTTTGTATTGATTTGTTCTTGTCAATGGGGTTTAATTATACAGGGTATAAGCCTCCCAGAGGTTAGAGCTGCTTGCATCCAGGTCCTATTTTCGGCTGTTTATCATCTGAAGTCTGCAGTTAATCCTTATTCTTCCGATCTTCTCAAACTGTGTCTCAAGTTTCTTGTAGAAGGATCTGAGAAGGTACAAATATTCAAGTTCTCTTCGATCATACGTAAATACTTGTTCTGATTCTTTGTGCCGCGGCTCTAAGTCTCTAGCCAATTTTTTTGAGCAAGTCTCTAGCTATTTTTGGCTTACTAAATAGATTGCTTTTAACTTGGAAAGCAACTTTTTTTGCCCAAAAAGAATGCACATAACCATATTAGATGCATTTTGCAAGCCCAAAGTTTTCTTTTCGTGACATGTAGATGTAGACTCAGAGAATACTGCTGAGTCTTCTTCCAATCTTAGTACATGTGATGGTGATGGATTTGAATGTTGTACCTATAAACGATTCTATTTTTAAAGAGTAAAAGAGCATAACCGATATCTGCCACATTTTACCGGGTTGCACCTACTATTTGAGACCAAAATTACTACCAAAGAACCCAAAAAAAATTAGTTTCTGAAGGTTTATAATTACACATGTTATGCAAAATCGAGAGGCATCTCCAAGCTTGTTAGCACCGAATTTGTCCAAACTTCTAGAAGATCAGAACCACTCAACATGGAGGGTTTAATTGTAGTATTTCTTTTTGTTGGAAAATGATTGGACACTGCAGATTTCTTTAGTTAAGCAGTTGAAACTTGACTGTCTTAGGTGTATGCACATGCATGTTATTCATGCATATGTGAAATGCATCTATGTTTCTTCTAGTATAAGTATATTCGCTCTTCAATAGTCATGCCTCTTACATTACCTTCTGATGTTTGTAGGAAAGGATGGCAGGTGCAAAGCTAATGGCATCTCTTATGGCCAGTGAAGATGCAATGCTGGAGAGCATAGCAGGAGGACTATTGGAAGCAAGGTTTGTGCTCTCAACCATATGTTCAAGTGATCCTTCCCCTCAGATACAAGAAGTGTGCAAGAAATTGCTAGAATGTATAGCTTCCTCGTGAGTTATTTGATTTTGATGTGAATATAATGATGCCATAATATCATATGTTCTAGTAACCTGCGTACACGGTTGGGAGATGTAAATTTGAAAAGTAAAATATCCAGGCGGCCGTCGTATCGTTAGTTTAGCTAACCCCAAACGTGCGCACACTAGGAAGTTAGCTAGTGTCATAATCTCTACATGCATTTTGATACAGCCGTAGCAGTGCTTGTAACGGTAGATCCTGTTTATTCTAATTATATCGGAAGAGTTTGATGTTCATGGACGTTAACTTGGTAGAAAGAGTACCGAGAAGATCGCCACGAAATTGCATTATGGGTTATATGACTGTATTGACTTGGTAGTAAACTGCTTTTGGTAGGGATTTGAATTTTGTTTGGAAGGCTCACATTTGGAATTTTACTTTCATTATTATAATTGTCGAGTCGGGTGTTGAAGTAGCGGAATTTTGTCTGAATAATCGGAGGAAAAGGTGGAAAAGGCTCAGTAGACTCTGCACGTCCCCCGTGAGTTTTCTGGAAATCACATTTTCAACGCCAAGTCCGGCCTTCCATTGCGGAGGCGGACGTAAGGATATCATATACCGCCAGTGTCTGATTGGAGGAAACACAAAATTAGTTGATGTGTAAGTTTTGGTTTGTTTAAAAAACACATTACGCAGACAACCACATGTAGAAATCTCAGTTCACACGTTTTAATCTCAAATTTACATCTCACCCATCATATGTGTATAGATTCCAAACACAAGCTACGCCCTTGTTGTAATACTTAATATATATATGTACACAAAATATAATATAATATATGTTATATATATATATATATATATCTAAAGAAAATAAAGCCAAATTATTAGATCTAAACTTTGTAATAATTGGATTTAGGTTAATTAAGGCAAAAGTTATTATTGTTAATTACTTCAAATTTGAACCAAATGGGATTATTAAAAGAGAAAAAAAAGGAAAGGCTTGAATTGCTCCATCACCTTCTACCTTAGTGATTAAGCCAATATTATGTTGAACAACAGAAAATTGTAATTTAAGTTTTAATTTGTTTTTTTTTTAATGGGTAATAATATAGGTTTTAAAAAAATTATAAATTTATATAAAAGTATTAATAAATAATCTATGTAAGTTAAATTACTTGATTTTTTTGGTATAAAAGTTTGTGAATTTTTCAATATTTTTTATCACAAAATTTATTATGTGGGTTCGGAAAAAAAAATTAATTTTTCTAAAAAAAAATTGAATTATATATGTGTGTTTGTATATATATATATATGTGTGTGTGTGTGTAAATATAAATATTATGTGGAATTGAGAAGAGAACCATTAGTTAAACCTTCCCAAAAAGAAAATAATAATAAAAACTGAATTATATATATATATATATATTTATATATTATAAAGTAGTGGACGTAAACAATTTTCTTTATTACTCTTCTACGACATAATTTAGGTGGAAGCTTTTTTTTTTATTTATTAATTCTCATAATTACTCTTTATTACCGTCTTAATTAAACTTACCAAATAATTTTCTTTTTGACTTTCGAAAATTTAAAATGTCATTTTAAAAAATTTACCGAAATCATCAAAATAAATATAATTTAATTAAATTTACCAAAATTATTTTTTAATTTAATTAAAATAAACCTCAAACAATTCAATGATTAAAAATTTACCCAAAAATATAAAAAAAGTCAAAGTCACCTTAAATTAAAAGCTATACATTTAATTCTTACAAAAAAGGAAATAATTATTATTTCAAAAAAGAAAGTGTAAAAAATTACGAGAAACAAATAAAAAATGAATTTTAAATATTTAAAATAAGATATTTTAATATTAAGAATTACCAATTGTTAATAATATATATATATATATATATTATTTTGATTTGTAAGTACACTATTTTTCATATATATACATATATATATACACATACATACACAAACAGTCCTCTCTCTCTCTCTCTCTCTCTCTCTCTGACTAGGACTAGAGAAACGACAAGAGAAAGAGAAGAAAACGACCGTCGCGTGAATCATCGCCATCAAAACTGTCGTCGTCCTCGTCCTCGTCGTGGAGATTTGGAGGCCGGTCAATAAAAATAAGATGCTGCAGCTGTTCTTCGCCATGGCCTTCTCGGCCGTCCCATTGACTCTTTACGTTCCGCCGATCCGCAGCTTCAATCTGTTCGTCGCCACCATCGAGGATATCTTCCGTCAGAGCGCCGAATACACTCTCCGGGCTTACCCTCGCATCCGCCAAGCCGTCTCCAGAATCTTCCGCTCTCTCTTCCGCTTCCATAGGTAAAATACAAAAAAGGAAAATCAAAGTTTAAAACTAGTAATGTGTGGAGTTCCTTTTTTTTTTTTTTGTCTTGTAATTTTCCGAGATGTTGTCTCTTTTTTTTTTTTTTTGAGAGAGAAATAGTCAATGTGAGATGGATAATGAATGACGTATTAGCTTTCGGTGTACATGGATGTAAGTTTTAATTACTAATTTTCTCTGCAAAATTCGCCCATTGATCATCGTTCCTCAATTGGATTCCTTCTTCTTCATCTGGAAATCGATGTTAGATGCTCGTGAATCACGAGCTCTGCAAATTATCAATCGGTGGACTAATTTCTTTTTACTGTTTGTTTGGCTGGAAAATTACGTGATGTTTGTTTTCTTCTTCTAGTTTCCCGATAAAGTTATGGTTAAGCATGTCTTTATGCTGTGCCTCTCCAGATCTTTGTCTTCTTCTCTTTTCATCGAACCCGATGTTTTCTTTCATTTTTCATTTTTTATTTTAAAAAAATTATAAAATAATAATAATTTTCTTGAAGTTAATGAACCTGGCTGCTCTGCCTTATCTTCTTCCTCGTGGCAGGTTGGCGTTTTTTCTACGCTTGACATTATTAGGTTTTCACACGGTCAATCCAATTCCTTCCTCCATTTTTTTTTTTTTAATCTTTTCAATAATTTTTCTTCTGTTAATTTCTATTCAACGTATTCCTCTGCAAGTTTAAGCAGATTTAGAAGTCAAATCCTCCTTATAAACCTTTAATCCATGTTCTCCGGCGAATTTTTTTGCACTTTGTTCTTAGTAGACTTTTGTTATTAACTGTTGTTTTGATCTTAAATCCTTCTAATAAGATTGCCGTTACATGTTTAAAGAAAATAATTAACACTTAAAATTGAATTCTTAATTTATATTTTAATTAATTTTTTTAATTACGTATTTTATTACATTATAATTGTTTCTCTAGTTATAAATAAATAGAAATTTATATTTTAAATGCCATACAACATACATACATACATACATATATATATATATATATATATTTAGTTGAGATATTAAAAATTTACTTTTGTTAGTTTCAAGACTTTTACCTTTAGCCTATACCATTTGTGCTTGTCTTAATCTATACTTGTATCTAATCTTCATAATGTGCAAAAACTATATAAATATTCTGAAAAAATATAACAAAAAATTATACCATTTTTTGTTAAATGGTGGATTGATGGGTTTAGTCTCTCCTTTTTTTTTTTGTTTTTCATGGTGTAAGTTGAATAGATACTTACTATAATTTTATACTATATTTCTTATGTCTCCTATCGTGACAATCATTTGGTCTCATTCGAGACATTGTCGTCGCCATTCGCGATAGTTGATCATTAAAAAGAAACTAATCTTGATAGGAGATGGTTTTGTTACTATGTCGAGAGTTTGACTCTTAAAATGATTTAATCTCGGTAAAAGATAATTTTTGTCGTTTTTATTAAAAGATATTACTAACTATATCTGATGTTGCCTAAAGAAATTAATTTTTATAGAAGATGATTTTTCGTCGTTTTTGCTAAAAAGATATTTATTAGATTCTCGATACGCTGAATATCAAAATTGATCGTTATAATAAATCAATCTCGATATAATATAGTTTTTTTTTGTCGTTTTTATTAAAAGGTATTATTAACTTTATTTGACGTTATTTAAATAAATGAATCTCGATAGAATATAATTTTTGTCGTTTTTATTTTTTTAAAAATACTTATTAGATTTTTGATACGTTAAAGGTTTGCAATAATTCTTAGAAAAAATCAATCTCGATGGAAGATAGTTCTTTGTCTTTTTTTATTAAAATATCTTACTATTAGATAGTTATTTATCGTTTTTATTAAAAAAATTTATTAAATTCATCAGTCGTTGCTAAAAATAATTAATCTTGATATGAAATGAATTTTGTCGTTTTTATTAAAAGATATTACTACATTTATTTATCGTTGCTCAAACAAATTGATATCGATAAGAGATGATTGTTTGTCATTTTTATTAAACTTTATAAAAATTACTACCATCACTCTCGTGGCTCTTAATTATTACAGTAGAATATAATATACATTTTATCTTAATAAGTAATTTTTTTAAACAAGTATATTAGCATCAAATCAAAATAAATGTTTTGAAGATGTACGTTGTGTCTCGAGATCAAGTCTAAACTATCAACAATACGGTATTCTAATAATTCAAACTATTCTACTACACTTCAAACAATCTTCGAAACTAATTAAATTCGTTACTTTACAAATGAATTATAAGTTGATAATGGTTAGCATACGATGTTTAAATTAATGGGACCAATAACTTAACTCACTAATGTATTAATGAAACTGCAGGAATGAATTTATGTTAAATCTCAATGAGTATATTATATTTTTCGATAAAATTAATATTTCGTGACAGTTAAATTCTCGTAATTATAACAGTTACTAGTTAAAAATTTAATATAACTTTTTTTTTCCTTAATAAAAAAATATACTAAGTTCAGGGTTAAACCTTATTTTATATTTTTTTAAAAAATATTTTGTTAATAAGAATATTAATTAAAGTGTTAGATACAAAATTCATACAACCTTTTTTTTTGTGTGTGTGTATATATAATCATGCCCAAATATAAATATTCTAGTGTGATTAGGATATCATTCATCTCATAATCATTTGTTGTGTACGTACATTATCTACAATATGTTTCTTTTATATAAAATTAAAATAAAAAGTAATAATTAATTATTAAATAAGTAATTCCATATATTATATAGAATTAATATGTGTAGGAGTAAAATATGAAATATAATAATTGTTCATCATAAATTAATAATAACTAACATTATAATATTTACTTCCTAATAAGTCTTATTTATACATGTATATATTATTACATAAAATTTGATTAATTATTTTAATTAATATAAATCAGTATATTGTATTGAAATTTCTATTTTTATATTATTTTAATTTCGTAAAATTATAAAATTTCATATATATATATATATAATTCTAAAAATCTTCTCTCAATTGGGAATACAAATTTCTAAACGACTCGCTTCCGCTCACCCTTCCGTTCGTGTGGTTCGACGAGAGGAGAAAAGCAGAGAGTTCAGTGATGGCAGCGGATTGAAAGAGGAGGCAGAGAGAAGGCTGAAGCGTTTGGGGGGATAAAATCCCGCGAGAGAGGATTGAGTGATTCAAAGCGAAAGAAAATCTAGCAGGGGAATAAAGGCGGGAGAAAAAGAAACTGAGAGAAGTCTGAGTTAACCCGGAAATTGAGGAACAAAAGAAATAGAAGAGAGTGTTGAAGCTGAGAGGGTAATCGGGAAACGGAGCAAGAACAAGCATTTGGATCCGCAGATTAGGTAAATGTTCTATAAACCCTAAAGGTAGATAAGATCAGAAGATATTTTTAGTTCGCCTTTTGTTTTCTTCTTGAATAAAGCAGGCTGAAAAATGTAGATTTGAAGTTGATGTATGAATGCCTGTTAAGTTTTGGGGTGATTGATTCGATGCTCTGTGAAATCTTCTTGGTACATTGATGAATCAGTTGAGGACAATGGCATGTTGATCCTATATTGGTTTACTTTGTCTTTGAACGAATGTATAAAAATGGAAGTCTTTAGTTTTCTGCTTCGAGTTCATGGGTACTAGCTTTTCCCAATTAGTTTATGTGTTTTTGTGTGATTGGATTAGGATTTTGTACTGTTTCCTTTGCTTGTATAAGTTGGTTTTCCCTGAATCCTTATGATTACATCTCAGTAGATGGATTTTTTAAAAAAGAAATTATCATGAATAGGTCATTTCATCTGGTTTCACTATTTGTTGATCTTAAGGTTTAATTTTGGTTTATAAAAAATCTCATTTTTTAAGCCTTTCTTTCGTTCCTACGTCTCATGATGATAATGAAATAGGCTGACGGCCATGCTTTAGGACTCAATCCAGAATCATGTGCTGTCTGTTAAATATGGTAAATGGTTGGTGTAGTGAGAATGAAGGCTGTTTTGATGGAAATGAAACGACTTGGAAGAACAAAATAGGGATAAGAAATGAAACACTTAGTAAATTGGACATGCACATTTTGCTTGCTATAATGTTTTATTTGGTTATTGTTTTCCACGTGTGCTTGATCGTGTAAGCTGAAGGCATAAATTTCTGTCCTCAACTACCTAGTAACCAGTTTTTCTTAATTGACAAGTGTATTTTGGTCTACCTTCCATGTTAATTAATTTTGTTTTTAAGGATATAATTTAATTTGGGTCTTTTCTCAGTATATACAACGTAAGGGTTTTTGTTTTAATCTTATTATATTGTAGCATTGTCTTTATAATATATTTCTCCTGCCATCCAGGCAAACGATTGGTCGTAGAAGGTTAAAAAGTTGGAATACATTCTGATTCTGGAGTAAACCTGGGGATCCGGAAACAATTTTCCTTTCCAAGTTCTCTTGGTTAAGGCAAGGCTTGTGTTTATCTTGTGTATTTTTCTTTTCTATCTGATATATACAAATGATTATAGCAGAAAGTGACAACTTCTTTATTTTTTTGCACTTTATTACTGCATCATGAAAGTTTATGCTGAATTTTCAGTGATTTACGATGATATTGTTGGTCTATTGAAACTTGGGCATTCACGTTGCAACAAGATATTTATTTTACAGCTGTTTTCTCAACAACTTTCATTATGGAACACTAATTATTGGCTTCTGAAACTTTTTCAAACTGCAGCTTCAAATGGATGAAATGTCTTCTCCTCATTCAAGACTTGCGTTACTTTGGGTCATTGAATACTTAGCAAGATTCAAGCAAATAGACACATCTATTTTACGTGGTAGCTGCATAGTCAAACTAAATGAACCCTCTTATGCTTACATTAATAGGTCTCTCTGGAACAGATTTAGGACACATATATATATATATATATCACTATTCTGATTATTGTATTTTTCTCCAGATCTGGTCAAAATGGTTCCAGAATTTTCGGATGATTTAGGAAAAAATGCAAGGGAAATGGTGGCTCTAAGATCTTTGGAGGAACTTTTTGGTGTTAGTGATGGACTGACAAAAGGAAGTGATGCACCAGAGACAAAAGCGGAGTTTGACTTATCAGCAAGTTGTGAAGATATGCTCCAACATATCCTGCAGGAGGTAACACACTTTTATTTTGTCTCTCACTTGCGTATGTGCTTTTTAGAGCATTTAGTCAGTTTTTTTTGTTTGTTTGTTGTAGCAAGTCGTTGATTTTTATGAGTTTCAATTAACTATTAAGCCTCTTCAATCTCATCTGTCAGACATCGTTATCAGATATTCAAGTAGGGGGTTTGAAGCATTTGAAGTTGGATGTTTCTTCCTTTCTTACTCACAAGAAAGCCTGCATGCCTAAATGTGCTTTAGAGCAGGTGGATTCCCCTCCTGTCATTGTTTAAATGTCTGTCTGTGAAGGAAATAGTACTCATCAATCTCCATTTGTTGTTCTTATGTTCTTTTTTTTTTCTGGTTTTATTGCTTGTGAATAGCTCAAAGATGCAACAGCTGAGGGTTTTGAGCCATTTGCTGCTTCCTTGAAAAGAACTAGTGGAATCACATGTATTAGTGGACATCAAAAGAGAAGGCTTAACAAGAGTGGCAATGCTTCCCAGATAATAGCAGGAGAAAAGAACTTAGTTCCTCTATCCCGAGAAAATGGGAATGAACTCTCAAGAGATTATCTTTGTAATAGAAATTTGTTGCCCTCTAAGAGGGATCGCAGTAACTTATCCCCTGAAAAGTTTGCAGGACAATGCCTTGGAATCAAAGATAGTGCTATAGATGGTGATATCTTGCATTTAAATTCCAAGAAGAATAAGCAGGATGCGATATGCACTAATCAGCCTGTAGAACAGATTTTAGCTTCTCTGCATGAGGCTAAATCATTAGAGCACAACACTGAAGGGACTGTCAGAGTTATAAAAGGAAAAGGTAGTGACTTGGCAGAAGATTATCAAGCAGGAGGGGTGGAGGACAAGAAGTTCCCTGAGAGTGGTCATGGCACTGATACTGTCATGGACAGGATTAGGCATTCTATAGTTAATGATGATCAATTCCAGAACAATCAAATGGAGATTAATCATAATGCCCCAGAATCAATTCAAGTTACATGTGGAGATGAACCTGTTTGTAATATGATATTGGTTGAAGTTAATGATTCTGAATTAAGAACATCAGACAGCATACTACCTGCAACTGGACAGAATGAAGAAATTTCAAGTGATAACAGCGAATTTAACAACGAGATGATTGATTTTGAAATGAAGAAGAGTCAGTTTTTGAGCTCCCAGTGCCCATTAAATGATGAATCTTCAAAAATCTACTGGACAGAACGAAATTTGTGTGTGAAGTGTAATGAGGATGGTCATTTATTAGTTTGCACTATCAGCACTTGCCCGTTTATGGTTCATGAAACTTGCCTGGGTTCTTCTGCCATTTTGGGTGACAATGAAACTTTTCTTTGTCCTTTTTGTGCTTATTCTGTTGCAGTTTCAAAATACCTTAAGGCGAAGAAAGAAGCCTCCTTGGCAAGAAAGGCACTAGTTGCATTCCTCAATGTGGGTTTTGAGCATCGCCTGAAGGAATATGGCGAGAGATTGCGGAGGGAAGAGCAATTTCATTTAAGAAAAAATGGAAATGAGGCTCCTTCCTATAAACTCCCTGAAAATGGGCATTTGGAAGATGGAGAAGACAATCAAGTGGGGCAGAATTGTCAGGATGTAAATGAAATCAGTGGCTCTCAACAAAACAAAAGCACAGGTAATGCAATAATTTTCGTATCCTTTATCATGTTTCTGATTTCAATTTAATGCCTTCTAAGGTCTACCTGGGCGCTATGTTATTGATTAGACTGTTAATTCTTTTTCTTATTTTATTGTCATGAAGGGCAACGGGACCAAGAGCCTGCTTTCTCTGAAGAGGAAGATGATACATACTGTAAAAATAGCAAAAATTTCCCATTAAATAAAAAAGATGTTAAGAACAAAATTGGGAAGGATTTTCTTCAGCAGCAAGATACTCTGAAGAAGCCTATTTACGATTGCAATACTGATGAAGAGGAAGCATCTGAAGGAGATAGTAGTAAGCACATAAATTCAGACTACTGCATAAGATTCCGAAGGCAAGAGAAGCAGCGGTAAGGGTCCCTTCTTCAATTGATTCACATGTTTCTATCTTCTCGCCGAGGTGTGGATGTTTATGTTTTGTGGATAGTAACACAATACTATTTTCATCGAGAAAACTTGATTTGAGATGGAACCATATTTGTCGTGCTAATCAATTATGTACATGCTAGGTGGTCATTTGATTGCCAGAATATTTGACAACTTATTTTCTTTTCCATTGTAGTTCGTACCCAGCAATTCCTCAATCAAGGCGCAAGAAGTGTCCTTGGACAGCAGAAGAGGAAGATATGCTAAGGGTACTCCTTTTCCTTGGTGGAATTCTACATTTAGTCTTGCTATCTTATTCTTCTTGTTCTTTTATTTCTTTTTGTAATCAAGCTATTGTTTAACCTTAATTTTGCAGAAGGGAGTACAACTTTTTTCAGGAGATAATGAAAGACAGTTTCCATGGACAAAAATTTTAGAGTTTGGTGCTTCTGTTTTCCAGAGTAGTCGAACTCCTGTAGACCTTAAGGACAAATGGAGGAATATGTGCAGAGGAAAGTCCAAATCCAAATGAGGTAAGTCATCTGTTAATATGAAGTTACTTTCCTAATATATAGTTCATTACACTGATGAAATAATGAAACCATAAGAATACTTATATCACTGCGTCCTTTGAATATATGTATACAGTTCTAGCAGATTTACTTGAAAGTTTGTTTCTGCTACTTTAAAAGTCCTGAAAACATTTTGTTTGCTCGCACTTGTCAGCTAGTAATATCTCTGTGAATTATTGTTCCCGACCACTGGATGACTTCTGGGAATATTTTGAAGATAACAGAAGATTTTGCTTGTACTTCCCATTTTTTACGATCTAAGCGGATGCTGAAAGATGGGATTTGCAGGTCGGGAGGGGGGCATCTTTTGTTTTTGGTAGGATGACTGTAAATCGCTAATATGTAGAGCGGAGGTTGTTTTTCCTCCTGTTTTGTTTTGATTTGCATTGTTCTTTTGGGTCCTTGCTCTCTCTCTCTCTCTCTCTCTCTAGTTGGGAATGAAGAAAAGGTGAAAATATAGCACATTTGATCTTGTGGTATTTATTGTTAGACAACGAAGTTGAGATTGATCATGGTGGTAATATAGTGGTAGTTGACATGATGAAAGGGTTAAGCATATGAATACCAGGCAAAATATGTTTACAAGGGTTATAAATCGATAGCCAAATTGACATGATATATATAGTGTTGCAGACTATTTGAGTTAAATAGCTGGAGCGAGTTAATGACAAGGAATGTCTTGGAATTTAGGCCAATATACACACACACACACACTATATGTAAGAGAAATGCATGTCATGGAAATTATGAAGCCTGTACCGAGTGGATATCCAGTCAGTTGGTCATGGTGACAGTGGTTTCTGTAATGGCCACAGTTGGGAATGTGTAGGGAATGATTTTCATTTAATGAAAAATGAGAGATGAATTCTTATTTCGTACTGAGAATTAAGAACGACTGCGACACAGATTAGTCTATACGATATATTAAGTCATTTGAGATTATGAAAGCCATTTGGGATTATGAATTCTTTTTACATAAAGAACGAGGAATGGGATTTTAATGTTTATGGACTTGTTAGAAATGTTTTTATATGGTGTGTCATTCCTTAAAATTGATGATAGCTTTTACAATATAAGAATACATATATATATATATATGTATCTTGCAAAGCTAGTAGGTAATATTTTCTTTTTAATTGTTGGTTTTCCTTTACATTTGCTCTATTGAGCCAGTTGAAATGGCTGTCACTTGTTCTGGAAAAGGGTTGTCTTGTTAAATTGGTGGGTTTAGTTTCTGATTATGTTTCCTTCCATTGTATCCCAAAAGGCTTACGAGACCATAAAACAAAACCAGTAAGACAGAAGGAAACATTAATGGTGGTTGGAGAAGACAAAGCAAATTCTGTACTTGGTGTAAGTTTGAGAGAGAGAGAGAGGATGAGAATGGCATGGGAAAAAGGTGAAAAGAAGCTCAAGAATCAGGCTGTTGCATGTGAAAAAAGAGAGCTCGTGAAAATGGAAAATGTTTTGAGGTGGGTTTTTTTGTCTTCTCATTCTTCCTTCTTCTTCTTCCCGGCCGAATATTTACTTTTCTCATTCTATTAATGAAGCTAAGAGAATCCAATGACAAATTTCTTTCACTTCTCCTCCTGCAATTATCTTAACAAACTGCTCCCGCTGTCCCAAACATATATAACACAACATATATATCGTGTATGTCGAGTACAAAAGAAATTCTGGAATGCTTGAGAAATTATTTTAACAGCTGTCCCTGCAGATATACACACAATATATACATATATACACGGCTATACATATGATTTATGATGGTTCGAAAACCCTTAATTGTATAAAGAATGACTAATTTGTAACAAGAGTTATAATTTTAAAAACAATACTTGACCTAAATAATCATGTAATTGCCATTCAATTATATATGTATGTATGTATGTATGTATGTATAGTGTGCATGCGTATCTGTATGGGTGTGTATATATGTATGGATGTAGTATGAGTAGAGGATAAATAAATGCGTAAATGTATGCATCACGCGTATTAGTAGAGGAGATGACATGCAAGCTTACCACATGTCAAAAGCCATGTTCGGAACCCATGTAAGCCAAGCCAAGTCACAGGACCTAAATAATCATGTAATTGTCATTCAATTATATATATATACGTATGTATGTATGCATGTATGTATAGTGTGCATGCGTATCTGTATGGGTGTGTATATATGTATGGATGTAGTATGAGTAGAGGATAAATAAATGCGTAAATGTATACATCACGCGTATTAGTAGAAGAGATGACATGCAAGCTTACCACATGTCAAATGCCATGTTCGGAACCCATGTAAGCCAAGCCAAGTCACAGGACGAAACGGGAAGGGGTCAAAAAGATTTGAAATTTACTCAAACACTAACGGTCACATGGGCATTCAACTTCTCTTCAAAACGTGATAGCATTTAACCCGAACTGCATCTTCACTTCCTACATATCCCCCCGCGCCTTTCTACACCTCTCTGCACTTCACTCGTCACTCTCACTCACTCTCCTTTCACTGTAGCTTCTGTTACTACCCCAAAAAACACTGCCTATGGAAAACTACAGGAGATCCCCATTCAAGCAGTGGAAGAAAGGTCCAACCAGAGGCAAAGGTGGTCCAGAAAATGCCCTGTGCCAATACCGAGGTGTTCGGCAGAGGACTTGGGGAAAATGGGTTGCGGAAATCAGAGAGCCTAAGAAGAGAAGCAGACTCTGGTTAGGTTCTTTTGCCACGGCTGAAGAAGCAGCCATGGCTTATGATGAGGCTGCAAGAAGATTGTACGGACCCGATGCATATCTCAATCTGCCTCACCTTCAACCCAACATCAACAATAATTGCCCAGTCAAGTCACAGAAGTTCAAATGGATTCCTTCTAAGAATTTTATTTCAATGTTCCCTCCTTGTGGTTTGCTTAATATAAATGCCCAACCTAGTGTTCAGGTTATCCATCAGAGACTCCAAGAACTACAGAAAAGTGGGGTTCTAAGTCATACCTCGTCTTCTAGTTCATCTTCTTGCGAGTCGAAGACCACAATTCAGACCCTAAGTGACAAAACGTATGACAAACATCCTGCATCAAAAGATAACGACATGGAAATTTCTTCAGATAAGATGCTGAAAGACCAGGAGAAACCGCAGATTGATCTGAATGAGTTTCTTCAGCAGCTGGGCATCCTGAAAGAAGAGAAACAGGAAGAGGTGAATAATACAAGAGAAAACTTTAAAGATGAAGAATCTTCAATGAAAGACCACTGTGAACTTATGGCTTTTGCAGACAAAAGTTTCAACTGGGATGCACTTATTGAGATGCATGGACTTCCTGCTACTCAAGGAGTAGAATCCAGTAGCTTCCGAGTTTGCAATAGTCAAGAAGAGCCAACTTTCACTACTTCTGTCTGGAACTTTTAAAGGTCAAGGCATGGGAACTAGTCTCGATATGTTCAGCTCAATTAGAAATAGGTTTGTCACCACCTAAACTAGAGAAATAGTTGTCAGTAGTTCTGCTCCCTCACTCAATGCTGGTAGCATCCCTATCTAGTGGTTCGGTTTAGCATGTGAGGGAAAGAGAATTATTGCAGTGGCTAGATTAACAGCAGATCTTGTAGTCAGAGACACATGCATAAACTGATCAATATTTCTTTCTATCATTTCAGGTTTGTTGTGTTTCTTGATCCTTCTGCTTGTCTCAAGAGCAGAAATTCAAGAGACGCATGCGGTACTAGCATGAAAGGACAAGGTTACATGTAATGCAGGTTTTTCTGCATTCAGCATTACATTAAAGTAGGAAAGTAAGTTGATTACACAATCCTACTGATCAAGTTTATAAAACCTAGTAACATTCGAAATTTAACAGAAAGTAAAACCAGAAAAGTGAAAGACTTACCCAGCAATCAAGACTCCTCACATTCAATTTGGCGTTCAAATATGCTAATAGCTATAGAGTGTAAACAGTTACAAGTTCTCTGAATGTTACAAAGCAAATCAGGTATGAGTAAGGAAGAAAAACAGAAGATACTCTCATGACTACCACTAA